TGACCATACACCACATATGAGATCCTCTTTAGAAAATTTGATGAAGAAAACTCTGATAATTACAAGTACAGTACAAAATATTAAAAATTAATATTTTGTTAGTTCAAAAGAGCTCGGTCCATAATTGTTTTAAGCTATATTCCAAACATCACCCTGATGTTTATATGGGAGCATTCCTTTTACGGCATACGGTTTGATGGTGGGTATATGAGATTCGGCACAGCCGAATATAACACTCTTACTTGTTTAAAAACAATTTTTTATTACAGAGCTGTTTTTTGTTTTGAAGTCCCATACCAAATTTAGTTTTTGTCTTCATTGCATTAGTTACAATATAAGCACTTGTTTTTTCTCCTATATATAAAACTCGTTCCCAAGCTCTTTCAGTCAATATTTTGTCAGCTTTGCTGCGTTCTGTTGAATCTCTATTTTGAAAATAAGCTATATCATGTTCTCTACAAGCAGTATCTAATGGATTGATACCTTTATCACCTCTAGCTAAACGCTTTTTAAGTTTTGTTCCTGGACCACAAAATTGATATCCCGGAATATGCAGCTCTATTGGTAAAATATCGATTAAATTATTTAATATATCTTGTCCTCTCATAACTTTTTTCGAAATGAATAAAATATTAATGCGTATCAACCTTATATATACTTTGACAAGGGAACTAGAACGATTAGTTGTCAAAATGCGTTTAATAAAACAAGATAAAAGCATATCGGTGAGAAACATGGATTTTTCTACAGATACAAATACAAAACAACGTCATAGTACTTTATTACCAAACACCATTAGAGCTCTAATTGTTGGGCCATCTAATTGTGGAAAGACTAATGTCATGCTTAGTCTGATTGAAAGTCCGAATGGTTTAAAATTTGAGAATATATATTTATATTCAAAATCGCTCTATCAACCTAAATATCAGTACTTGGAAAAGCTCATGACTCCTATAACAGGGATGGGATATTTTACATTTAATGATAACGATAGTGTTATACCTCCTGATGAAGCAAAAAATAATTCACTAATGACATTTGATGATGTTGCTTGTGAGAAACAAAATAATATTCGTTCATATTTTTGCATGGGTCGCCATAAAAATGTTGATTCTTTTTACTTATGTCAAACGTATACGAGAATTCCTAAACATTTAATACGAGACAACGCAAATATGATAATTATGTTCAAACAGGATGAACTAAATATTCGTCATGTTTATAATGATCATGTTGGAACAGATATGACATTTGAAAAGTTTCATGCTATGTGTTGTGAATGTTGGCAAGACAGATTTGGGTTTTTAGTTATTAGTAAGGATGACGATATGAATGGTGGAAGATATAGAAAAGTGTTTGACAACTTTATCCATTTATAAAAGCTGATCATGAGCTATTGAAAGCTGTTCATGAGCTGCTGAAACCTGTTTATGAGCTGTTGAAAGCTGTTCATGAGCTGTTGAAAGTTGTTCATGAGCTGTTGAAAGCTATTCATGAGCTGTTGAAAGCTGTTCATGAGCTGTTGAAAGCTGTTTATGAGCTATTAAAAGCTGTTCACGACCTGTAGAAAGCTATTTATGAGTTAACCAAAGCTCTCATTCGAATAAAAAGAGTGTACATAATATTTTAACTCTTATTACTATTACTATCCTGAAAGAAGTGTATTGTTCTGCTCTATTAAAGATTCATCAAGATGAATGAACAACTACTCAAAGAATTAATAAAGACTCGATCCATTTTAAAACAAAAGTATCGAACTTTGAAAGTTGGTGAAGCTGAAAACGAAGAAAGATTGGAAAAAGCATTTAAACCAATAACTGAACCATTAAAAACCCTTGTAAACAATGCTAAATATGATAAATCTGTAATAGAAAATTCGGATACACGAAGCAATTCATTTAATTTCCATGAAATGTCAACCAAAGTAGGAACGAGTACACCTAAAAAAGACTTTCAACTTAAAGATGATGTCGATGATTGCGATGATGGTGATGATGGTGATGATGATGATGATAAAAGTCGTAGTGATGCAGACAGTGTAGATACAACTTTTAATTCTGCTAATAACTCATCTAGCGTTATTAACTTATCATTATTACAGAAAAATAAGTTGCTTGACACAACATATGGTCCACATAAAAACATAAATAATACTTGGAAGTTTGGTAATAGCGACTATAGAAATTACTGATGAGAAGATTAATATAGCAAATCAAAATTGGGCACTAACACCAGGTTTAATTGAGCTATTGTTTTATAAAGAACCAAAAAACTATGAACCATATGAGTTGGAAATTTATAAAAATATTTTGATTAAAACCAATGCGCATAAAAGAAACTATAATTCAAAAAATCAAATTAAGGGAACTAAAAGCAAGAAGTATAGCACCATTATAAAAAATTTGTTTAAAGATGAAATCTTAGACACATCAAAAAAATTTTCAACATCTAAGATATCACTAAGATCACGAATGCGTAAAGGAAAAGGGATGATTATGAATGTCAATAATAAAAAACCCAACTATATATACTGGAATGATCCTAATGAATTAGTAGATCGACTTAGACTATTGATTGCATCGGAAGGATCGGGTCACAATAATCATCGCAATGAAATTAATTCAATTTTAGAGGAATTGCAAGAAGCGAATATTATTGTATAGAAAAAATAATAATAAATATACTGCGGAAGGATAACAAAATATGTCTGTTGATAAGTTTGGTCACCACTCCAGAAGTCAAAACGATTTTTTAAAAAATGAAAAACATAAAAGAAAAATTCGTCAAGTTGTTGGACTTGTGCTGGATAAATATAATAACATTAATGTTCAAAACAAAAGGATCACAAATGTTTCGTTTCCTACACAAGAAAAAGACGCTATTAATATACATTACTTGGGAACAGAAATCAGACAATTGCAGCAAGATTTAATAATATTAATTACAAATAAATATAAAAAACTTGATGAAAAACTTGAAAATGTCGATAATTTAATACAAAAAACGATATCAAATAGAGAGATGTCATTGAAATTGTATTTCAGTGAGCAGATAGAAATTTTGTTAGAAAAAGTATATAGACTAGAAAATTTTGGTTTTGCTTCAATAATTGAAAAAGGTGAAACGTTTAATAATATACCTCCGATAAAAAAGAAATATAAGTTGAAATATTGATAAAATTTAAAAATGAATGAAATGCGCGAGTTGGTTAATGAGCTTCATTCTCAAGCACGGAAGGGTATTGATGATTTGTGGCAAGCGGACTTAGTTGAAATGGGAAACTATTCTATATATAACAAAGGATTTAAATACTTATTGACCGTCATAGACACATTTTCAAAATATGCTTGGGTTCGGCCACTGAAATCTAAATCGTTTACAGATGTTTCAAATGCTATGAATGATATACTTACTGAAGGCCGTATTCCAAAAAATCTACAAACGGATGATGGAAAAGAATTTTTTAACAAATTATTCAAAAATCTAGTAGCGAAATATAAAATAAATCACTATTCTACCTTTAGCGTTATGAAAGCCTCAATTGTTGAACGATTTAACAGAACTTTGAAAGGTATGATGTGGAAAGAGTTCAGTTATAATGGATCATATCATTGGATTGATTTGTATGAAAAATTAATTATAGATTATAACAATAAAATTCATCGAGTTATAAAAATGGCTCCTATTAACGTTAAGCATTCTAATGAAAAATTACTACTTAATACCGTTTATAACCATATAAAAATATTTAAGAAAAACAAGTATAACATTGGTGATAATGTACGGATTAGCAAATATAAACACTGTTTTGAAAAAGGATATACTCCAAATTGGACAACAGAAATATTTAAAATAAAAGATGTTAAAATTACATATCCGACAACATATATTTTAGAAGACTATATGGGAAATCCAATAAAAGGTGGTTTTTATGAAGAGGAGCTTCTATCAACCAGTTATCCAAATACTTATCTTGTGGAAAAGGTTATAAAAATAAAAAATGATCGTGCATTTGTTAAATGGTTGGGGTTTTCAAATGAACACAACTCTTGGATTAATAAAAATGAAATATTATAATTAATTATTATATTTATATATTAATAAAAAATAAAACATACAACATACTCTTCTTTTTATTCATTTGATTATAAGTACTCAATATGTCTATTACATTAACTTTAAACGGAAACGCATCAATTTTAACAGCAAATTATTTTCCATCCATAACACTGGAACAAGATTATGAGTGCTCACTTATAGACTTTCATACATATAATAGCATACCCAATGTCGATGAGGATAACAATTTATTTCATATTGGTGATAATATTATTGAAATTCCTATTGGTTCCTATGAACTGGAAGATATTGCAGATTTTTTAGAAAGTGAATATGAATATTTAACTAAAGGTGAAAAATCTATTAAAATTGAAGCTAACAACAATACAATGAGAGTTGAGATAACAACATCGCATGATAAAATATTTTTTGATAAAGATAGAACTATTGGAAAGTTAATGGGATTTAACAAAAACATTTTAAATGGTGGTTCACATTATGTTTCTGAAATACCTGTAAATATTCTAAAAGTAAATACAATACGAATTGATTGTAACATAGCAATTGGGTCTTATATAAATGGTACAAGAGCACATACAATTCATGAATTTGGAATAAATGTATCTCCAGGATATAAATTGGATGAAATTCCCAAAAATTTAATCTATTTACCACTAAACACCAAGGAGATAAGTTCAATCACAGCCACTATTGTAGATCAAAATAGCGAGCTTATAAATTTTCGTGGTGAAAATATTACTCTTCGTCTTCATTTAAGACCAAAACAATAATGATTATATTTAATAAAAACATTGTTGATAGAATAAGGAGAGACATTAGTGCGTTAAACTCTGAATCATCAAGAACAATTTTAAACGCATCAAAACTTACCGAATCTAATAAACAATTTTTAAAATCTTTGAATTTAATTTTAAAGAACAATGACTGATATAATTAATGTTTTGGAAAAACCATTGATGGATGAGAGAATAATAAAAAAAGATTATCATACATATACACCATATATTCAATCATTTAATAACAATGACGAAATTCGTATCTCAATACAAAATCAAGATTTATATGTTTTACCTAGTGAGAGTTTTTTATATATTGAAGGTTCTGTACTTGAATCTAAAAGCGGTAAATCATCGAAAAACATTAAACTAAAAAATAATTTTGTTCCAAACCTATTTGAAGAAATACGCTATGAACTAAATGGTGTTGAAATAGATCGAACTAGACATTTAGGCATTTCTGGCACAATAAAAAATGTTCTTTCCTTAAACGATAGTGAAAGCATTATGATGGGAAATGCAAGTTGGTCTTATGATAAAGATATTGATGTTGGTGAAGGGTTTTTTAACTTTTATGTATCACTAAAATCATTATTAGGATTCGCTGAGGACTATAATAAAATTATAATGAATTGTAAACATGAACTAATATTATTACGTACAAAAAACGATGATAATATTGTACATTCTACTGAAGCTGGAGAAAATCGTAAAATTTCAATTCAAAATATTAGTTGGAGAATTCCTCATGTAAAACTTTCAGATTATTCAAAATTGAATACAATAAAAATCATAAAGAGTGGAAATGTATTGCCTGTAGCATTTCGCAGTTGGGATTGTCATTATCACCCTCAACTATCAACATCACAAAATCATATTTGGAACGTTAAATTTTCCGCAAACAGGGAACGTCCCCGCTTCGTTTTAATTGCATTTCAACATGAAAATAAACTTACACACTGCAATCTTAACAACCTTAAAGTTCATTTAAATTCAGAGTCATATCCATATGATGATTTAAATGTCAAATTTGATAATCAACGTTATGCTATTTTATATGATATGTACGTAAAGTTTCAACCGAACTTCTATATGAGAGAGCCTCAACCTCTCCTATCAGCCGAACAATTTAAAGAGAAAGCACCTATAATCGTCATTGATGTAAGTCATCAAAATGAAACAGTCACAACTGGTCCAATTGATATAAAAGTCGAGTTTGCTATGGATAAAATAGCTAAGACAAATACATCTGCATACTGTTTGCTTATACATGATCGTTTAATCGAATACTCACCACTTACTGCATCCGTCAAGAAAATTGTTTAAACATATAATAAACATTTTAGTTATTATTTTTCTTTTTATTTATTTTAAAATTAACACATTTTAACTTATATAATAAACAACAATATTTAAATACATAAGTTTTCTAAACTAATACAAAAAAAAATAAATAAATATATAAATAAATTTATTAAAAACTATATATAAAGAGGATTTTTATTTCTTAAAATTTTATATTGTTCTTAATATTCTAACTGAATAAATAATTCATCTTCATCGTCAGGAAATAAAATATTATTATTTTTATTGTTATTATTATTATTATAATTGCTTATATCTATTTCCATTAACATTTCCTCATCACAATCAGAAAACTCAACTTTATTATTTGCGTTTTCTTCTATACCTAAAAACATTTCATCATTTCCATCATTATCTCAATTGTTTAATATATTTTCTTCAACTGTTTCCTCAACCAAATAATCTGCAATATCATGCAGTTCAAAATCATTTTCTCTTAATGTATAATGCCCCCAAGCATATGTCTGTATACCCTCGAACTTAATATAACGTTTGTCATCATTATAGCTCAAGACGATCTTTCCTATTTTTTGAGTATATATTTGATGTCGATACGTTCGAAATGTATACATTGAATCACTGTAAACATTTTTAGCATATAAACACTTTTTATAGTCAGATGTAACTCTCCAACGCCATTTTTTTACACCCTTTGATTTTTTGATTTCTCCATTATTATCATTTCTAATGGAATACATTTTAGCTCTTAAGCCAACAAATTCTTTCATAATTATTCCACAGTTTTCGTCCTTCATCATTCCTAAAATTTTTTTATTTACCAGAGGTAAATTAAATTTATTTTTAGGATCATAATCGGATGTATCAAAACGACTAATTAAATCATTTGATATATCTTTATAAAAATCTTCGGTTTTAATGGTGTATATAAATTAGTCTGTATCCATATAATTTAAATGAAACCTATTATTATATTTTGGCTTCATGTAACTATAATGAAAATTATACATTTTCCACTTCGATAGTTCTAAAACACTGAAACCTAAGTACATAGGCTTATAGTATTTTACATTCATGCGTTTTAATTGTACGGCAAACATATCATCTCCAAACCTGGACATACTGTGGAAATTCAGTTGAGCAATATGAGCTCGTGCTTCCTTATGATTCTTTCTATTTGATTCCCACTGCGTAACTATATACACTGACTTCCTTTTTTCTACATTTTCCATTGTCTTCCCATATACCGCATTATTTAATAATTTAAAAAAATCTTTCTCAAACGCATTAGATGCTCTACTTCTATGAAATGTGTTCTATGAAATGTGTTTAAGATTTAAGCCATGGTGACTGCTTAAATTTTATGGCTCTATGAATTTTTTTCAGAATCAGATCATTTTCTATACACTGTTTTAATACTCTATAATGTATAGAATATTTTCTTTTATGTGTCAAGTCCGCAATTAACTTCTCATTAATCATTGGAGCAAACATTTTATTCTCAGGACAAAAAGGTAAATCATTATGGTAATCATGTAAAGTTTCCTGATATTCTAAATCTACTTCAAAAATATATCCGTCATCAGCTTCGTCTTCTATTTTATCAATATCAATGTTATCAATTTCCTCACTATTAAGCCATATAAAGTCAGAGAAGGGTAAATATTAAGACATTGCCCACCCATATAGATTATTTGCATCCAAATACATCAAGTATTGAGAGGGTTTTTTTGAATCATAGTCGCTCATATATTTGTTGTTTGCTATTGAATGCCTTAATGAACATTGTACAAGCCCTCCTCGAATTCCCATTTTCACCATATTATACATGTCAACATCGGTTATTAATTCTAGTTTAATTTTTGTTGACTTTAGCATTGCGTCCCACGATAAACCTGGTACTGTGTAATAATGGCAAGGATCTAAATCATAAATTTGTTTACAAATTTTTCTGAAATTTTCAAAAATGTCAGCCAAAATAAGTGTCACTTTTAACATACAATTCAGTGTAATCTAGAAGCGTTTTACAATTGAAAGTTTCCCATACTTTTTTTGCATGTTCATAATCGTCTACAGTACACTCTTTATTTGTTAACAAATTTTTAAATTCAGTCCGTTCAGGGAGATTTCCTTCAAAAAGTTTTGAAAATGAGTAGATGTATGAATATGGATATATTCCTTTTCTTCTAATTAAATCAAACTCAGATTCATTGGGAAAATAATTTTTAATGATTTTAAAATCATTTGAATCTAAGTTAGTTGAAAGTGCATCTAAACTGGATGCCATAAACCTATATGAGTCTACAAACCTTAACTGAAAACCATCATTTTCAATTTGTACATTTTTAGTGATGGAAATATAAGTCTCTTTATTTATAGGAATTATTTCTATGGTACCATCAACTTTACCTAATTCTCTTATAAATAAGTGGCTGTCATATGAGGATAAATTATGAAAGAATACTGGAATCATTTTTTTAATTTTATAATTAATATTACAATGATTATGAAGGGCAGACCTGAAACGTCCAGTCAAGTGGCAATGATCACGAACTCTATCATCCCCCAAAGATTAACCACAAAGAGAACAATCAATACAAGTTATAAATTTCTCGTTTTCCTCACTTGTTAAGTCCTTCATTGGAACAACTTTATTTAAGTAATTATTATAAATGTCCGTTGTATCCTTAAGTAATTCCCTGACAAATACTTGGGGGCTATCTAATCCACTATAAGTAAATGATTTTGAATATCTATCATTATAGCTACACTTAATGTAATAACTCAATGAGCATGGTATATGTTTCTGCTCATTAACTGTTTTGTGACTAACTCTATTATTTACGTTTTCTAACAAACACTCAAAATCTGCATATACAACGAATGGTACAGTCAAACTATTACTATTATTTTCAAATTTAATATACCTATCATCACCATCAGGCATTGTTGTCACCATCTTCAAACATCCTTCTTTGTGGCGGATTGCCATTTCAGGATCATGCGAATAGCTTAAGCATGTATTACAAAAATAAATACTATTTTTGCTACTGCTTAATGAAGATCTAAGACATCTGAAAAATAAAAAAATAATTAAAAACAAGTAAGAGTGTTATATTCGGCTGTGCCGAATCTCATATACCCACCATCAAACCGTATGCCGTAAAAGGAATGCTCCCATATAAACATCAGGGTGATGTTTGGAATATAGCTTAAGACAATTATGGACCGAGCTCTTTTGAACTAACAAAATATTAATTTTTAATATTTTGTACTGTACTTGTAATTATCAGAGTTTTCTTCATCAAATTTTCTAAAGAGGATCTCATATGTGGTGTATGGTCAATTGTTGACCTATCCTCATAACTTTTTGTAGACTGATTTTGGTTCATATAAAACTTGTTTACATTCGCTGTTCTCGCATTTTTATGCCGGCAATTAGCGTTCATGTAATTTTATAAAGTGGCTTATATGGGGGGTAGGGTGAATTACCGACACATTCCGCATGAAATTCGGAGCGAATTTCATAACCGTATTTCATAACTCATATTTTTAAGCCAGTAATGATCGTTTAAGAAATTTTCTAAAGGGGACCTTGTATGGGCGGTAGGGTAAATTATGGACCGATCCTCCCTAAATTTAGTGGAGAGATTTTGGCACGCATTAAACTTATGTGCGTCAATTTTCGTCACTACATTAATATTTTTAAGCCAGTAATGAGCAGTATAGTTATTTGCAGAGGGGGCCTTATATGGGGGAAGGGTCATTTATGGGCCGATCCAAAAAAAAATTGGTACCGAGATTTTGGCTCGTAAGAAACTTACGTGTGTAGCATTTCATCGCTTTACTCTTATTTTTAAGACAGTAATGAGCGTTAAAGCTATTTCCTGAAGTGGACCCAATAGGGGGAGAAGGGCCAATTATGGACCTATCCATATTAAAGTTATTAAAAAGATTTTGGCTCGCGAGGAACTTAATTGTGTAAAATTTTATTGCTATATTCGTATTTTTTAGCCAATAATGAGCGTTAAAGTCATTTTCAGAAGGGGACCTTATATGGGGGGTAGGGTCATTTATGGGCCGATCTTAAAAAAAAATTCGTAGAGCGATTTCGGTTCGTAAGAAACTTATTTATATCGAATTTCATCGCTATGCTCGCATTTTTGGACCAGTAATGAGTGTTAAAGTAATTTTCTAAAGGGGACCTTATATGAGGGGTAGGGTCAATTATGGACCGATCCTCAAAAAATTTGGTAAAAAGATTTTGGCTCACATGAAACTTATTTATGTCGAATTTCATCGCTATACTTGCATTTTGTGGCCAGTAATGAGTGTTAAAGTCATTTTCAGAAGGGGACCTTATATGGGGGGTAGGGTCATTTATGGGCCGATCCTGAAAAAATTTGGTAGAAAGATTTTGGCTCATATGGAACTTATTTATGTCGAATTTCATCGCTATACTTGTACTTCTGAAGCAGTTATGCCCGTTGAAGCTGTTTTTTGGAGGTCCACTTGTATAGGGGCTATCCGAAAAAGTGGACCGATGTTGCCCATTTTCAATACCAAACAAACCTTAACAATAGAGAATATTTATGCAAAATTTCAACTGCCTAGCTCCTCTCGTGTGGTCCCTATCGTGATTTCAACAGACAGACGGACAGACGGACGGACGGACAGACGGACAGACGGACGGACATGGCTAGATCGTCTTAGAATTTAATAAGGACCCGGAATATATATACTTTTATGGGTCTATGAGCAATATTTCGATGTGTTACAAACGGAATGACAAAATCAATATACCCCCCATCTTTTTTGATGGTGGGTATAAAAAAAAAAATAAGAGAAACAAGTAAGAGTGTTATATTCGGCTGTGCCGAATCTCATATACCCACCATCAAACCGTATGCCGTAAAAGGAATGCTCCCATATAAACATCAGGGTGATGTTTGGAATATAGCTTAAGACAATTATGGACCGAGCTCTTTTGAACTAACAAAATA